GACAGGGACAACTCGCCTCCAGCACGTCTGCAGCCCGTTCGACCGGCCAGTCCGACGGCGATTGGTCGAGCCGCGCCAGGCCAGGCGAGGCCAGGAGAGGCAGTCGGCCTCTGATTGGCCGGCGTCCCATTGGCCAATGAGTGGCCGCTGTTTGGTCCGGCCCGCCCCCGGCCGGTGCCGGCACTCTGAACCGTGGCCGCGTGGCAGTCGGACTCTCGTAGCGCTCCCGCAGCATCGCCAGATGGGCCAGCCGCCTCGCACGTGACCGCACACAGACCCTCCCCCTCCGGCCGAGTCGACCAAAGCTAAGTGAAGTGAAGTGGAGTGGAGCGAGGAGAGGTGATGGCGAGCCAATTGGTGCGTGTCCAGTTGCGGCGCGTCGACAGCTCGACGCCGTGGGGCTTCCGTCTCGACGGCGGCGTCGACGTGGCGCGCAGCCTGAGGCTGCAGCGCGTCACTCCGGGCGGATTGGCCGAGCGCCACGGCCTCCGGTCGGGCGACCACGTCGTGCGCATCAACCAATCGGACACCGGCTGGATGCGACATGAGGACGCCAAAATGGAGATTATCCGCTCCAGCAACGACATTGACTTGATGATCCGGCGCGACTGCCCCGCGTCGCCGACGCCGACGGCGACGGCGACGGCGACGTTGATGCCGAGCGGCGCCTGGCGACCAAAGGTCGTCTCTTGCGTGCAATTGTCGCCGGGCGGCCGCGCCGGCGACGGCGACGGCTACGGCTACGGCGACGGCGACGTCGACGCGATTGGCGTGACGCACAACGCGTCGCCGTTGCCGTACGCGGCGGAGGCGCCGGCGCCGGCGCCGGGCCGCAGTCTCGTGGCGCACGGCTTCGACGGCCGGCTCCGGCAGGTCGGCCATTCGGCGTACAACTCGCCGATGGGTCTGTACACGCAACACTCGGTCGACGAGGCCTTCCGACAGACCGTCTCGTCGGCTTTGTCGGCGCCGTTGGCGTCGCCGTCGCCGTCGACGCAGCAACCGCAGCCGCGAGGATTGGGCGCGGCGACGGCGACGGCGGGACGTCTGTTGGCGCAGACGCCGACGTTGATGCATTGCGGCGCGTGCGGAGAGGGCATCAAAGGAGTGTTCGTGAAGGTGCAGGGCCGCGTGCCGATGCACCCCGCCTGCCTCAAGTGCTGCAAGTGCGGCGTCGGGCTGCGCAACGTCGGCTACTTCTTCATCGACGAGCGGCTCTTCTGCGAGACGCACGCCAAGCTGGCCGCGCCGCCGCCGCAGCCCGGCATGAAGCCGGTCGTCGTGTACAAATAGACGCAGCCGGCAAGCACACAATCGTGGCAGGACAGTAGTTTCCACTTAGTTAGTCTAGCCAACCAGTCGACACGCACACACGCACACACGCACACACACGCACATTTCACCCGCTTTCACGACAGTGTAAATAGAATTTCTTTTTCCCCAAACACCGGCAGCCACTCTTTTTCCCACTCCACCAGTCGGGCCGGACAGGCCGGGTTGCCGGGCGACGTCTGTACCAAGTACCGTCTGGGCAGGGCAACGTGAAGAGGCATTGAATGCATTCTCGCGTCTATCAATCACTCAGCTGGGCACTACTTAAATCGGAAGTAAGTAGTCTCTGCGGCTGACAGACTGCGAGTCCCTACTGCAATTGGTGACACTCACGGAAACGCATGACAGTCTACAGACAGA